CATTTCTCATTTGATAAGTTCAGGTCAGTCCCTCCCTTGGCTTCCATTTGGTTCCAACTTTCAAGGGGGTTTCATGTTTGGGCCTTTTTGGTGTCCACGTCTGTCTTCTAGATCAGATCAATGATTTATATCAAATCACATTTTATTGGTCACATACACGTGCTTAGCAGATGTTATTGTGGGTGTAGTGAAGTGCTTGTGTTCCTAGCTCCGACAGTACAGTAATATCTAACAATTCACAACAATACACACGTCACTAACACTAGTCAATTTAATAATGTTTATATATCTTGCACTACTTATCTCATATATATATATATATATATATATATATATTCTACTGTATCTTAGTCCATGCCGCTCTGTCATTGCTTGTCCATATATGTATATATTCTTAAATTCCATTCCTTACTAGATTTGTGTGTATTGGGTATATGTTGTGAAATTGTTAGATATTACTGCACTGTAGGAGCTAGAAGCACAAGCATTTCACTACACCCGCTACAACATCTGCTAAACACGTGTATGTGACAAATAACATTTGATTTGATTTGAAATCTAAAAGTAAAATAATGGAATTAAGAAATATTAGGATGAGCAATGTCCGAGTGGCATTAACTACAATAGAGTAGACTAGAATACAGTATATACATATGAGATGAGTAAAGCAGTATGTAAACATTATTAAAGTGGCCAGTGATTCCATGTCTATGTATATAGGGCAGCAGCCTCTAAGGTGCAGGGTTGAGTAACCGGGTGATAGCGGGCTAGTGATGGCTGTTTAACAGTCTGATGGCCTTGAGATAGAAGCTGTTTTTCATTCTCTCGGTCCCAGCTTTGATGCACATGTACTGACCTCGCCTTCTGGATGATAGCGGGGTGAACAGGCAGTGGCTCGGGTGGTTGACGTACTTGATGATCTTTTTGGCCTTCCTGTGACATCGGGTGCTGTATGTGTCTTGGAGGGCGGGTAGTTTGCCCCCGGTAATGCATTAGGCAGACCGCACCACCCTCTGGAGAGCCCTGCGGTTGCGGACGGTGCAGTTGCCGTACCAGGCGGTGATACAGCCCGACAGGATGCTCTCAATTGTGCATCTGTAAAAGTTTGTGAGGGGTTTAGGGGCCAAGCCAAATTTCTTCAGCCTCCTGAGGTTGAAGAGGCTCTGTTGCGCCTTCTTCACCACACTGTCTGCGTGGGTGGACCATTTCAGTTTGTCAGTGATGTGTACGCAGAGGAACTTGAAGCTTTCCACCTTCTCCACTGCGGTCCCGTTGATGTGGATAGGGGCATGCTCCCTCTGCTGTTTCCTGAAGTCCACGATCATCTCCTTTGTTTTGTTGACGTTGAGTGAGAGGTTATTTTCCTGGCACCACACTCCCAGAGCCCTCACCTCCTCCCTGTAGGCGGCCTCGTCATTGTTGGTAATCAAGCCTACTACTGTTGTGTCGTCTGCAAACTTGATGATTGAGTTGGAGGCGTGCTTGGCCACGCAGTCATGGGTGAACCGGGAGTACAGGAGGGGGCTGAGCACGCACCCTTGTGGGGCCCCAGTGTTGAGGATCAGCGAAGTGGAGATGTTGTTTCCTACCTTCACCACTTGGGGGCGGCCCATCAGGAAGTCCAGGACCCAGTTGCACAGGGCGGGGTTCAGACCCAGGGCCTCGAGCTTAATGATGAGCTTGGAGGGTACTATGGTGTTGAATGCTGAGCTATAGTCAATGAACAGCATTCCTACATAGGTATTCCTCTTGTCCAGGTGGGATAGGGCAGTGTGCAGTGTGATGGCGATTGCATCGTCTGTGGATCTATTGGGGCGGTAAGCAAATTGAAGTGGGTCTAGGGTGACAGGTAAGGTAGAGGTGATATGATCCTTGACTAGCCTCTCAAAGCACAGAAGTGAGTGCTACAGGCGATAGTCATTTAGTTCAGTTACCTTTGCTTTCTTGGGTACAGGAACAATGGTGGGCCTCTTGAAGCATGTGGGGACAGCAGACTGGGATAGAGAGAGATTGAATATGTCCGTAAACACACCAGCCAGCTGGTCTGCGCATGCTCTGAGGACGCGGCTAGGGATGCCGTCTGGGCCAACAGCCTTATGATATATAATATAATAATATGCCATTTAGCAGACGCTTTTATCCAAAGCGACTTACAGTCATGTGTGCATATATTTTTACGTATGGGTGGTCCCGGGGATCGAACCCACTACCCTGGCATTACAAGCGCCATGCTCTACCAATTGAGCTACAGAGGACCACAGCCTTGCGGGGGTTAACATGCTTAAATGTCTTAATCACGTCGGCCACGGAGAAGGAGAGGCCACAGTCCTTGGTAGTGGGCCGCGTCAGTGGCACTGTGTTATCCTCAAAGCGGGCGAAGAAGGTGTTTAACTTGTCTGGAAGCAAGACGTCAGTGTCGGCGACGTGGCTGGTTTTCCTTTTGTATTCCGTGATTGTCTGTAGACCCTGCCACATACGTCTCGTGTCTGAGCCGTTGAATTGCGACTCCACTTTGTCTCTATACTGATGTTTTGCCAGTTTAATTGCCTTGCGGAGTGAGTAGCTACACTGTTTGTATTCTGCCATATTCCCAGTTACCTTGCCATGGTTGAATGTGGTGGTTCGCGCTTTCAGTTTTGCGCGAATGCTGCCATCTATCCACGGTTTCTGGTTAGGGTAGGTTTTAATAGTCACAGTGGGTACATCGTCTCCTATACACTTCCTGATGAACTCAGTCACCGTATTGGTCAATGTTATTCTCAGAGGCTACCCGGAAAATATCCCGGTCATCATTAGGGATCCACCTGTCTTCTAGATTAGAATGATTTCTGTCTTCGTCATCATTATCCTGAATAACAATGTCTTTCCCTCCTCAGCCTCTTAAAAAGATGGTGGACAGAATCCGCAAGTTCCAGGTTCTCAACGATGAGATCTTTGCCATTCTGAACAAGTACCTGAAGTCAGGCGATGGAGAGAACATGCCAGTTGAGCATGTACGGTGCTTCCAGCCTCCTATCCACCAATCCCTGGCCAGCAATTGAGATTGACCGGTGCGCCGTCCAATAACATGGACGTTTCCTATAGTACCGTCCTCTTATGTCAGACTAGACACAAAGGATGCGTCTCTAATGGCACCCTATTCCCTATATAGGGAATACTTTATATAACTGCACTACATAGGGAATAGGGTGCCTTTTGGAATTTATCAGACTAGACGCACAATATTCCTTCATCTGCTTCTTCCATCTTTAGGTTTTAAAGCAGCAGTGGACCATGAGACTAAAGCCTTGTTCACACTGCCGGCGTTAATGCTCAAATCCATTTAGGAATATTGACTGTCCAAACAGCAAGTTACAAGTGACCGGATCAGATGTGCGTGTTCAAGACAGCGGTCATTTGCTGACATGGCTACGCTAGTTGCCATAGTAATGACGGGTGTGTGAGCAGTGGTGTAGGCTGATTGGTTGTGGTGCTCGTGTTTCCTGTCACTCAGAAGTTACGTAGCAAGCGAAGGTGACTGCACGCCATGGACGTTTCCCAGTTGCTTTGAGTGTTCAAAAATCAGTGTAAGAACACTTAAAGCCTCAAAGCGTGTTAAACTCATTCCACGGAGGGCCGAGTGTCTGCGGGTTTTCACTCCTCCCTTGGACTTGATTGGTTAATTAAGGTCACTAATTAGTAAGAAACTCCCCTCACCTGGTTGTCTAGGTCTTCATTGAAAGCAAGATATGCTGAATGACTTGAGGGGAAGTAACATCCCCTACAAATGTGGCTTGAAATATCTGATTCCATGTGCTTTTTGGCTGTTCAGACTGCAGCAAACAGAACTGGAATTGGATATATGCACAAAAATTGGATTTGAGTCACTTCAAACTGCCAGTGTGAATAAGGCTTGAGGTCCAACTTTATGTCAGGATGATGATGTTTGTACCCAATTGTGCCTTATAATCTTATCAATAGCTATTTTCATAGTTTTTTGTTCTAAACTTCTGTGTTTTATGGAGCACTGTAATAGATCAGGGAACAAAACTATCAAATGATTATTTAAGGGGTTTGCGTGGTGGGATATCATTGGTGAACAGTAGCCTGTATTCAATGAATGGGGAAGGGAAGTAGTAGCTTATATAGAGAGTGTTAAACATTAGCAGCTTAAAACCTAGAATCTTAAAGGAAATCTGGAAAGTAACCGAGTTCTTACTTATAAGCATTTATTCACCGTGCCTTTTTTGTTTGAATAATTTTTAATTCAATAAATATGTAACAAATCTCTGCTTGTTCTTGAGGGCATTTTTATGCAAATGACACACAAGTTTCATGGTGATTTTCCGATAACTCTTCCTTTCAAGTATCACATCTTATTGACCGACAAAGACCTGGGATCTCCACAGGGGTTGAAATAGGATATATTACAAAAACAAAGCTGTGGATTTGTAGAAAGAAACTCAGTGCATGTTTAAACAGATCTGTACAGAAAGTGTAAAGAGGTAAATGTGTAGTAGAATATTGACAGCTCCACGGGGATGAGATGAAGCTCGCTCTACCATGTAGTCAGGTATTCAGAGAAACAGAAGGCAAATCTAAACTAAGTACAATCAGTTGGTCCATCCAAGTCACAGGTTTTTCCCTAGAGTCGATTGTCTTAAGGTTTCCAAACAAACGCAACAAAACGGCCACACCAGCGTAATGGTCCTAGTCAGTAGAACTATACCAGAGAGATAGCTAGTTCCTCTAAGAGGCTGTCACCGCTCCATTCCTCCTGGACAGGCTGTCACCGCTCCATTCCTCCTGGACAGGCTGTCACCGCTCCATTCCTCCTGGACAGGCTGTCATCGCTCCATTCCTCCTGGACAGGCTGTCATCGCTCCATTCCTCCTGGACAGGCTGTCATCGCTCCATTCCTCCTGGACAGGCTGTCATCGCTCCATTCCTCCTGGAGAGGCTGTCATCGCTCCATTCCTCCTGGACAGGCTGTCATCGCTCCATTCCTCCTGGACAGGCTGTCATCGCTCCATTCCTCCTGGACAGGCTGTCATCGCTCCATTCCTCCTGGAGAGGCTGTCAAACGGCAGGCCGACCTCCCTCTCCTCCAGGTCCATCTCTGTGAAGTCATTGTGCAGCAGTTCGTAGGTGCCGTGTGTTGCCACTCCGTTAGCTGCCGGTCCGGGCCTCTCGTCCTTCCTGATGGACACAGCCAGCGTGGACAGGCTCACACTGAGGTCCTTGAAGGCATGGAGCAGAAAGATACCAACTATAATGGTCAGGAAGCCACTCAGAGTCCCGATGACATCAGCACTAGCCATGTGCCCCCACTCCCTGAAGAGGATCGCAGAGCAGGAGAGGACCGAGGTGGTGAAGAACACGTAGTAGATGGGCGTGACCAGGGAGGTGTTGAAGATATCCAGAGCCTTGTTCAGGTAGTTGATCTGGGTGGAGACGCAGGCCACCAGCCCTAGCAGTAACACCCAGGCTAAAGGGTTCCCCACCACGGGCCTCCCAGCTATGGCCTCTTTGATGGCGATGCCCAACCCCTTCACACACGACACGGACAGAGCTCCTATCACAGAGCAGATGGTTATATACACCATGATGTTGGTCTGGCCGTGCCGAGGGCCCACCACCAAGATGAAGATGAGCGCTACGATGATGACGAAGGTGGCAAACACCAGGAAACCTGAGGAAGAGGAAGGAGGGATCATTGGAAATATAATGATATGCCATTTAGAAGATGCTTTTATCCAAAGTGACTTAGTCATGTGTGTGTACATTTTACACATGGGTGGTCCCGGGAATCAAACCCACTACCCTGGCATTACAAGCTCCATGCTCTACCAACTGAGAAACAAAGGACCACTTGGGGATTAAAAGAGCAGTCAGGGATAAAGTCCATCATAAATCAAGTTGCAACAGGGAGACAACATCCAGCATAGAAAAAGTCTTAACAGGCCTTTTTATATATTAATCAGACGGCACTAAATGTTCCAGCCAGAGGATTGTAGGAAGTCACAACATCCGCTGCTGCAGAATCTGTGTCCTCGAATCTAGTCTGGAGCCAAACTTTAACCACAACATTTGATACTGTCAGTTAAACATGTCAAAAGGTAAGAACATCAGTACTTACAACATAATTAGAGACTCACAGCTGTAAAACGACTTAAACCTACATGGTCAACTCCTATTTCCCTTTCTCACGGGAATGGATCTGTCTGCGTATCCCCACACATACAATCATGTTTATTATATATCAATCCATAACAGTAACTCAAATACACGAAAATCATTACTCATTTTCCCATTACAATCATGTTGACAAAAGTTAAACCTTAAGAATGAAGTGACATCGTGGTGCTCTATCCCAATTGATCTCCTCCTCCTGGAAGTCCCTCCTGCCTGACCCTCTCCTCCAATGGGTTTTGAGGAGGAGGAGAAACACCCTATCCGGTACTGACCTGGGTGGACCAGTTTCCCGGCCATGTGGTCCAGGGTGCTGATGTCTTCCTCCTGAGGGGCGTGGATCACCATGGTAGTGGAGCCCAGGATGCTGAGCAGACAGCCCAGCTTCCCATGGAGATTCAGACGCTCTGTCAGGAAGTACGACGACAGCACCGCACTGCCGCAAAACATACAACACACAGTTATATTACAGCACCGCACTGCCGCAAAACATACAACACACAGTTATATTACAGCACCGCACTGCCGCAAAACATACAACACGCAGTTATAATACAGCACCGCACTGCCGCAAAACGTACAACACGCACACCGTTACATCATGGACGCCACGGCACTGCTACAACACAGTAAACCATAAATATCTTGATAAAGAGATACTGAAATATTATGGCTTGGTAGTTTAGTTTATAGTAAGAACTGAAGTCTACAGGGCTTAGAGCAAAACAAAATCCCATGACTGAAATGTAAGTCGATCTCAGATTGATTGTCTGTGGGGCCAAGTTAACCTCCACTTTCTTGTAAGTCATGACCGTCATGCTTTTAGTGAAATAGGAACATTCAGTTTTTGTAGAAGGACTGAAGCTCAGTTCTGGGGACTTTTTAAAAGGACATTCTACTCTAAAATGAAGAAAAATATTAAATGATGCTGACACCATCCAAAGTATAATTTCCGCCTCCAGAAATTAGCTCAATAACATATTGGTACAAATTGTTAACATAGGCCTGTTGGACCATATAGCCTACGCATGGTCTAGACCAGTGTTTTCCCAACTCCAGTCCTCCAGTACCCTAACAGCCCAACTCCAGTCCTCCAGTACCCCCAACAGCCCAACTCCAGTCCTCCAGTACCCTAACAGCCCAACTCCAGTCCTCCAGTACCCCAACAGCCCAACTCCAGTCCTCCAGTACCCTAACAGCCCAACTCCAGTCCTCCAGTACCCCCAACAGCCCAACTCCAGTCCTCCAGTACCCTAACAGCCCAACTCCAGTCCTCCAGTACCCCCAACAGCCCAACTCCAGTCCTCCAGTACCCCCAACAGCCCAACTCCAGTCCTCCAGTACCCCCCAACAGCCCAACTCCAGTCCTCCAGTACCCTAACAGCCCAACTCCAGTCCTCCAGTACCCCCAACAGCCCAACTCCAGTCCTCCAGTACCCCCAACAGCCCAACTCCAGTCCGAACAAAGGATCCAATTCTGGGAAGTGGTATTTCTGGTGGTAATGCTGGGAAGTGGTATTTCTGGTGGTAATGCTGGGAAGTGGTATTTCTGGTGGTAATGCTGGGAAGTGGTATTCCTGGTGGTAATGCTGGGAAGTGGTATTTCTGGTGGTAATGCTGGCGAGTTACAGGCACCCTGATATCCAGCTGTATGTACGTTCTGAAATAACACAAACAAACTAAATACTGCTAAGTTGCTTAGGAGCAGAGTTGTCCGTCAGCACCGTCTTCATCCCCTACTGACGGCCCATACTGACAGTGGCTTGGTGTTAGGGCCTAAAAATCCATAAATTTTTGCGGTATTGAAAAGCATACCGCCGGTATTTCAAAATACCCCGGTATATGATATATCACCCAAGCCTAATAGTAATGTTAAAAAAAAAAAATTGTTGTCTCTAAATAAGCTTTGTTGTACAATTAAAGGTAAAATACACTACATTTCAAACAGTTAGCAATAATCTAAGGAAAGCTTTTGATACTCATCACAAAACTGTCCAAGTTCAACTTTTCCCCCGATGCCTTTAGATGGATTAAATCATACCTTGAAGGCAGAACTCAGTGTGTCAGAGTGAGCAATGAGCTGTCGCCCACTCTTAGCTATGATGTGGGCGTTCCCCAAGGGTCAATACTGGGGCCCCTCCTGTTCAGCCTGTCCATTAATGATCTGCCTTCTGTCTGTACTGGGTCTGAAGTGCAAATGTATGCAGATGATACAGTCATATACACTACCAGTCAAAAGTTTGGACACACCTACTCATTCAAGGGTTTTTCTTTATTTTACTATTTTTACATTGTAGAATATAGTGGCTGGTGGCCATGTCGAAGAGAGCGAAGTTGTCCCCTCTCAAAAACCACATCGCCCCATGATGAAACATGACCAGTATCCTTTTTTTCTTTCCAAACAAGGTGTTTTAAAATCTTGTATCTCTCAGAATGACCTTTTGACCAACAGTATTCAGACTGGTCATCAAATGGACCTCTTCTCTGGTCCTTCCGCATGCGAAACTACTCTCTCTCCTTGCTCTTGTCTTCTAGACCTGTCTGGCTTGATACTGTAACCAGATCCTCTTCCACCTCTCCGAGAGGCATTCCGCGCGGTCACCCTGGATGGTCCTTACGGTCCATCCTACAGTCGTGGAGGATGTTCCGCACCGGCCTCACCACTGTGTCCCCAGGATCGTTCTGGGCCCTCTCTTTTCTCCCTATACACCGTCACTGGCTCTGTCATCTCACATGGTCCTCCTATCATTGCTACACGATACCATCTTCTCTCCCCCTTCTGAAACCAGTGGGAATGCATCTCTGGTTGGAGACATTCAGTGGAGGCCAGTGTCATCCTGGGCAGAGCACTCCATCACTCTCGCTGTCCTTGGTGCAGAATAGGCGTGCCCTGACAACACCCTGTCTTCTCGCAACATCAAGGCGGTGACCCCCCTGCGGTTCATGTCCTGTTGAAAAACAAATGATATTCCCACTAAGTCCAAACCAGATGGGATGGCGTTACCCTGCAGAATGCTGTGGTAGCCATGCTGGTTAAGTGTGCCTTGAATTCTAAATAAATCCCAGACAGTGTCACCAGCAAAGCACCCCCACACCATAACACCTCCTCCTCCATGCTTTACGGTGGGAACTACACATGCGGAGATCATTCATTCACCCACACCGCGTCTCACAAGACACGCCAAAAATCTCACATTTGGACTCATCAGACTAAAGGACAGATTTCCACCGGTCTAATGTCGAATTTATTTGGGCTGCAATTTCTGACCTGGTAACTCTAATGAACTTATCCTCTGCAGCAGAGGTAACTCAGGGTCTTCCATTCCTGTGGTGGTCCTCATGAGAGCCAGTTTCATCATAGCACTTGAAGTTCTTGAAATGTTCCTAATCGACTGACCTTCATGTCTTAAAGTAATGATGGACTGTCATCTTTGCTTATTTGAGCTGTTCTTGCCATAATATTAACATTTTTTTTTTCATACTGGCCCCCCATGGGAATCGAACCCACAACCCTGGCGTTGCAAACGCCATGCTCTACCAACTGAGCTACATCCCTGCCGGCCATTCCCTCCCCTACCCTGGACGACGCTGGGCCAATTGTGCGCCGCCCCATGGGTCTCCCGGTCGCTACCGGTCGCTACGACAGAGCCTGGATTCGAACCAGGATCTCTAGTGGCACAGTTAGCACTGCGATGCAGTGCCTTAGAACACTGCGCCACTCTTGAGGTATATGGACATATTCTGTATACTCTCCCTACCTTGTCACAACACAACTGATTGGCTCAAATGCATTAAGACAGAAATAAATTCCACAAATTAACTTTTAACAAGGCACACCTGTTAATTGAAATGCATTCCAGGTGACCACCTCATGAAGCTGGTTGAGAGAATGCCAAGAATGTGCAAAGCTCAAATGTAAATAGCGTGTTTAAACCGCTTGTCAGAGGAAGAAGCCTTCTCTCATCTTTGTTGTTGCGAGTGGCAGGGGGAGGGGCTTGATGTGTGTGTAAACGGAGAGGATGAGGCAAAGCAAGAGGTTTCACTCTCGCCAAAATATGTCCAAAATAAGCCCAATGTATATTTTGGATCCAAGCTTGTCGCCTGCCTTCCTGCCTTTGGGACAACGGCTCCCATTGTTAGGGTCGCTCCTCTTTTCAGTTCGCTGCAGCTAGCGACTGGAACGAGCTGCAAAAAACACTCAAACTGGACATCTCTTCATTCAAAGACTCAATCATGGACACTCTTACTGACAGTTGTGGCTGCTATGGGGGTGTCTGGTTTAGTTTAATAACACATTACATGACTAGGTCTACTATTCTCAAATCAAATCAAATTTTATTGGCCACACGCACCGAATACAACAGGTGCAGACATTACAGTGAAATGCTTACTTACAGCCCTTAACCAACAGTGCATTTATTTTTAATAAAAAAATAGAATAAAACAAAAAAGTGTTGAGAAAAAAAGAGCAGAAGTAAAATAAAGTGACAGTAGGGAGGCTATATATACAGGGGGGTACCGGTGCAGAGTCAATGTGCGGGGGCACCGGCTAGTTGAGGTAGTTGAGGTAATATGTACATGTGGGCAGAGTTAAAGTGACTATGCATAAATAATTAACAGAGTAGCAGCAGCGTAAAAAGATTGGGTGGGGGGGGCAGTGCAAATAGTCCGGGTAGCCATGATTAGCTGTTCAGGAGTCTTATGGCTTGGGGGTAGAAGCTGTTGAGAAGTCTTTTGGACCTAGACTTGGCACTCCAGTACCGCTTGCCGTGCGGTAGCAGAGAGAACAGTCTATGACTAGGGTGGCTGGAGTCTTTGACAATTTTGAGGGTCTTCCTCTGACACCGCCTGGTATAGAGGTCCTGGATGGCAGGAAGATAGGCCCCAGTGATGTACTGGGCCGTACGCACTACCCTCTGTAGTGCCTTGCGGTCAGAGGCCAAGCAGTTGCCATACCAGGCGGTGATGCAACCAGTCAGGATGCTCTCGATGGTGCAGATGTAGAATTTTTTGAGGATCTGAGGACCCATGCCAAATCTTTTCAGTCTCCTGAGGGGGAATAGGCTTTGTCGTGCCCTCTTCACGACTGTCTTGGTGTGTTTGGACCATGATAGTTCTTTGGTGATGTGGACACCAAGGAACTTGATGCTCTCAACCTGTTCCACTACAGCCCCGTCGATGAGAATGGGGGCGTGCTCAGTCCTCTTTTTTTTCCCCTGTAGTCCACAATCATCTCCTTCTACTATGGGGGTGTCTGGTTTAGTTTAATAACACATTACATGACTAGGTCAATAGGTCAACTATTCTACTATGGGGGTGTCTGGTTTAGTTTAATAACACATTACATGACTAGGTCAATAGGTCAACTATTCTACTATGGGGGTGTCTGGTTTAGTTTAATAACACATTACATGACTAGGTCAATAGGTCAACTATTCTACTATGGGGGTGTCTGGTTTAGTTTAATAACACATTACATGACTAGGTAAATAGGACAACTATTCTACTATGGGGGTGTCTGGTTTAGTTTAATAACACATTACATGACTAGGTCAATAGGTCAACTATTCTACTATGGGGGTGTCTGGTTTAGTTTAATAACACATTACATGACTAGGTCAATAGGTCAACTATTCTACTATGGGGGTGTCTGGTTTAGTTTAATAACACATTACATGACTAGGTCAATAGGTCAACTATTCTACTATGGGGGAGTCTGGTTTAGTTTAATAACACATTACATGACTAGGTCAATAGGTCAACTATTCTACTATGGGGGTGTCTGGTTTAGTTTAATAACACATTACATGACTAGGTCAATAGGTCAACTATTCTACTATGGGGGTGTCTGGTTTAGTTTAATAACACATTACATGACTAGGTCAATAGGTCAACTATTCTACTATGGGGGTGTCTGGTTTAGTTTAATAACACATTACATGACTAGGTCAATAGGTCAACTATTCTACTATGGGGGTGTCTGGTTTAGTTTAATAACACATTACATGACTAGGTCAATAGGACAACTATTCTACTATGGGGGTGTCTGGTTTAGTTTAATAACACATTACATGACTAGGTCAATAGGTCAACTATTCTACTATGGGGGTGTCTGGTTTAGTTTAATAACACATTACATGACTAGGTCAATAGGTCAACTATTCTACTATGGGGGTGTCTGGTTTAGTTTAATAACACATTACATGACTAGGTCAATAGGTCAACTATTCTACTATGGGGGTGTCTGGTTTAGTTTAATAACACCATTACATGACTAGGTCAATAGGTCAACTATTCTACTATGGGGGTGTCTGGTTTAGTTTAATAACACATTACATGACTAGGTCAATAGGACAACTATTCTACTATGGGGGTGTCTGGTTTAGTTTAATAACACATTACATGGACTATGTCAATAGGACAACTATTCTACTATGGGGGTGTCTGGTTTAGTTTAATAACACATTACATGACTAGGTCAATAGGTCAACTATTCTACTATGGGGGTGTCTGGTTTAGTTTAATAACACATTACATGACTAGGTCAATAGGACAACTATTCTACTATGGGGGTGTCTGGTTTAGTTTAATAACACATTACATGACTAGGTCAATAGGTCAACTATTCTACTATGGGGGTGTCTGGTTTAGTTTAATAACACATTACATGACTAGGTCAATAGGTCAACTATTCTACTATGGGGGTGTCTGGTTTAGTTTAATAACACATTACATGACTAGGTCAATAGGTCAACTATTCTACTATGGGGGTGTCTGGTTTAGTTTAATAACACATTACATGACTAGGTCAATAGGTCAACTATTCTACTATGGGGGTGTCTGGTTTAGTTTAATAACACATTACATGACTAGGTCAATAGGTCAACTATTCTACTATGGGGGTGTCTGGTTTAGTTTAATAACACATTACATGACTAGGTAAATAGGTCAACTATTCTACTATGGGGGTGTCTGGTTTAGTTTAATAACACATTACATGACTAGGTCAATAGGTCAACTATTCTACTATGGGGGAGTCTGGTTTAGTTTAATAACACATTACATGACTAGGTCAATAGTCTTTACCAGCAGCTACACACCTCTGTAACCTACTGTAGCTGCTGGTAAAGACTCAGACAGAGGTGTGTAGCTGCTGGTAAAGACTCAGAGGTGTGTAGCTGAGGGGCCCCCAGAGGGGTGACCTACCTGACCAGCACACTGAGGGGCCCCCAGAGGGGTGACCTACCTGACCAGCACACTGAGGGGCCCCCAGAGGGGTGACCTACCTGACCAGCACACTGAGGGGCCCCCAGAGGGGTGACCTACCTGACCAGCACACTGAGGGGCCCCCAGAGGGGTGACCTACCTGACCAGCACACTGAGGGGCCCCTAGAGGGGTGACCTACCTGACCAGCACACTGAGGGGCCCCTAGAGGGGTGACCTACCTGACCAGCACACTGAGGGCCCCCAGAGGGGTGACCTACCTGACCAGCACACTGAGGGCCCCCAGAGGGGTGACCTACCTGACCAGCACACTGAGGGCCCCCAGAGGGGTGACCTACCTGACCAGCACACTGAGGGCCCCCAGAGGGGTGACCTACCTGACCAGCACACTGAGGGCCCCCAGAGGGGTGACCTACCTGAACAGCACACTGAGGGGCCCCCAGAGGGGTGACCTACCTGACCAGCACACTGAGGGCCCCCAGAGGGGTGACGAGCGTAGCAGGAGCAAAGGCATACGCTGCGAAGTTCGCCCCTTCTCCAGCCGCCACTGAGAAAACAAACAGATATCAACCACACCAACTAAGGTGAACTGAAATACATCTTGTAAAACAAAACCACAGAAAACAGGATAGCCTCATTGAAACTGTGAACTGAAACACGTCATCTTAGGGTAGAAATGTTCACTTACTTGATAATAAACCAGCCCACCAGAGCCATTCTTTAAGATATGCATGTCCACCCTGGCCTAGACAGAAAAACAACAGGACTATAGTATTTAGCCTATTCAAACATATTCCAGTTCTAATGTGTGTTCAATGTCATGTCATGCAGTGGTGTTCCTCCATATCAGTTGGACTGATAAACTCTAGGGCGTTATGGTAACAACCAGTGGTACACCTTCTGAAGGTTTGGCAACAGCTGCATGTGTCCCAAACGGCACTACTCCCTATGAGCCCTGGTCGAAAGTAGTGCACTACATAGGGAATAGGGTACCATTTGTAGGGTACATACGTTGGATAAAAGCGTCTGCTAAATGGCATATTATTTGGGTGTTTATAAAGAAGGCACGGTGCAGCAGAGAGCCTACTGGACGGTAGATAATGATTGCTGTGTCTAATAAAAGCAACAGGTGACAAACAGGGATGTAGCTCAGTTGGTTGAGCATGGCGTTTACAACGCCAGGGTTGTGGGTTAAATTCCCACGGGGGGCCAGTAAAAAAAAAAAAACTAAGTCGCTCTGGATAAGAGCGTCTGCTAAATGACTAAAATGTAAATGTAAACTGTGATCAACTGCTGGTCAATATTATAATTTTTCAGAGTGGGGTAAGGGGGGGGGTAGAAGGATTACCTTATGCTATCCCAGGTATTACCACCTCTTTAAGGAATACCTGGGATAGGATAAAGTAATCCTTCTACCCCCCCTTACCCCACCAAAAAATAAAAAAATAATATTGTAAAGTGGTTATCCCACTGGCTATAAGGTGAATGCACCAATTTGTAAGTCGCTCTGGATAAGAGCGTCTGCTAAATGACGTAAATGTAAATGTGACAATCATCAAAATAAAACCTAGACAATCAGGGGCAATTGAAAATTCCCAAAAAAATGAATTTAGCAGTATAGATTGTTATGTTTGAGCAAAAGAACATGGCATTAGCCATGGCAAAATGCATAGAATTGCAGGAAATTAGCTTTAAAACCGCAACATGTTCTCTCAGCTGCATGGCAAAATGTGTAGAATTGCAGGAAATGTGCTTTAAGACAGCAAAGGTTTTTCTCAGCTCCATGGAGACATTTTTGAAAATGTTCTCTAAAACTCTGGTGCGCCAACCGGTCGACCACGCCCCCTGCCATGCCCACGACCTAAGACCCTTTTGATCCAGAAAAAACCCTGGTGCGTACTGCGTACTTACTGTACATGTGACTGAACATAAATATGTAAAGTACCTGCTCTCTTGAGCCCTTCCTCGAATGTACAAATTCAACCTAACTATCTGCCATACAGAGATACAGTACATGTAGATCTAACTATCTGCCATACAGAGATACAGTACATGTGACTGTAGATCTAAGCTAAATTCGACCATAGAAACATTATTTATGCAATTATGTTTATAAAGATTTCCTCTGAAACCAGCATTTAACTAAAGCGCGCCTCCCATTCACCATTCGAGTGCATAGGCTATAGTCAACGGCAGGCAGGCTATCAGCACGTTACCCATCACTTTACAATGTGAGCTGGAGGCAATATTATGTAATGTGAGCTTGAGGCAGCATAATGTAATGTGAGCTTGAGGCAGCATAATGTAATGTGAGCTTGAGGCAGCATAATGTAATGTGAGCTTGAGGCAGTATAATGTAATGTGAGCTTGAGGCAGCATAATGTAATGTGAGCTTGAGGCAGCATAATGTAATGTGAGCTTGAGGCAGCATAATGTAATGTGAGCTTGAGGCAGCATAATGTAATGTGAGCTTGAGGCAGCATAATGTAATGTGAGCTTGAGGCAGTATAACTGTTGGAAACCTGAAACTTTTGCTTTACTTCAAATAATGCGGCATGTCTGACCTTGCTTCAAAGTAGCTTAGCCATAGAAATGTGGAGGCAGTTATTTTATAAAGATTTCCTCATGCCATTAACCAGAATTTCTCTACTGTACTATTGGTTGTCATATCAACTTTCTTTCACTGTCCAGAAGCCAAAGGCACAATCCTACTCATATTATACTGAACAAAAATGTAAACGCAACATGTTAAGTGTTGGTCCCATGTTTCATAAAAGATCCCAGAAATGTTCCATAAGCACAAAAAGCTTATTTCTCTCTAATGTTGTGCACAATTTACATCCCTGTTCGTGAGCATTTCTCCTTTGCCAAGATAATCCATCCACCTGACAGGTGTGGCATATCAAGAAGCTGATTAAACAGCATGATCATTACACAGGTGCACCTTGTGCTGGGGACAATAAAAGGCCACTCTAAAATGTGCAGTTTTGTCACACAACACAATTCCACAGATGTCTCAAGTTTTGAGGGAGTGGGCAATTGGCATGCTGACTGCAGGAATGTCCACCAGAGCTGTTGCCAGAGAATGTAATGTTAATTTCTCTACCATAAGCCTCCACCAATGAGAATTTGTCAGTATTACGTCCAACTGGCCTCACAACCGCAGACCACGTGTAACCACGCCAGCCCAGGACCTCCACATCCGGCTTCTTCACCTGCGGGATCGTCTGAGACCAGCCACCCGGACAGCTGATGAAACTGTGGGTTTGCACAATTGAAGAATTTCTGCACAAACTTGTCAGAAGCCGTCTCAGGGAAGCTCATCTGCATGCTCGTCGTCCTCACCAGGGTCTTGACCTGACTGCAGTTCGGTGTCGTAACAGACTTCAGTGGGCAAATGCTCACCTTCGATGGCCACTGGTACGCTGCAGAAGTGTGCTCTTCATGGATGAATCCCGGTTTCAACTGTACCGGGCAGATGGCAGACAGCGTGTATGGCGTCGTGTGGGCGAGCAGTTTTCTTAACGTTGTGAACAGAGTGCCCCGTGGTGGCGGTGGGGTTATGGTATGGGCAGGCATAAGCTACGGACAACAAACACAACTGCATTTTATCGATGGCAATTTGAATGCACAGAGATACCGTGACGACATCCTGAGGCTCATTGTCGTGCCATTCATCCGCTGCCATCAACTCATGTTTCAGCATGATAATGCACGGCCCCATGTCGCAAGGATCTGTACACAATTCCTGGAAGCTGAAAATGTCCCCGTTCTTCCATGGCCTGCCTACTCACTAGACGTCACCCATTGAGCATGTTTGGGATGCTCTGGATCGACGTGTTCCAGTTCCCGCCAATATCCAGCAACTTCACACAGCCATTGAAGAGGAGTGGGACAACATTCCACAGGCCACAATCAACAGCCTGATCAACTATATGCGAAGGAGATGTGTCCAGATACCTTTTTTTTTTTTAAAGGTATCTGTGACCAACAGATTCATATCTGTATTCCCAGTCATGTGAAATCCATAGATTAGGGCCTAATGAATTTATTTCAATTGACTGATTTCCGTACATGAACTGTAACTCAGTAAAGTCTTTGAAATTGTTGCATGCTGCGTTTTATATTTTTGTTCACTTAGCAACCCATCCTAGGTGTTGTGATTAGTTCCCCCCTCTTTCTAAGGAATTTACAGATATTTTCATCTCTCAGCCCTCCCGAGTGGAGCAGTGGTCTAAGGCCGCGACCGGGAGACCCATGGGGCGGTGCACAATTGGCCCAGCGTCGTCCAGGTTAGGAGAGGGTTTGGCCGGTAGGGATGTTCTTGTCCCATCGCGCACTAGCTACTCCTGTGCACGCTGAAACGATCGCCAGGTGTACGGTGTTCCCTCCGACACATTGGTGAGGCTGACTTCCGAGTTAAGAGGGCATTGTGTCAAGAAGCAGTGCGGTTGGGTTGTGTTTCGGAGGACGCACGGCTCTCGACCTTCGCCTCTCCCATGCCCGTACGGGAGTTGCAGCGATGGGACAAGACTGTAACTGCCAATTGGGTAGATAAACTACAAAAATATGTTCATCTCTCGTATACGGAACCTCTCGCATCAGGTGCGCTGTTTAGAACAGGGTTTTCCCACGAATTGCATTTTGGCAAATGTTTGAAAATGACGATGGGTAACGTGCTGATAGCCTACCTACCGTTGACTATAGCCTAGGCACTCGAATGGGAGGCACGCTTTAATTACGAGTTGAGAAATAAAAATAGCTATTTTTAATCATGGCCATCAAAACTGTTAACACTTGATTGCATTAAGAATTATTTGTTGCGCAATGACTGGGCTTCCAAAGCACATTTAACTCCAGTACCAGCTTTTTGAGGAGCAGCTTTCGCGTTGTCTGACAGGTGATAGGCCATTCCGCTCATCAAACTAGGTTATGTATGCTGTGCGCATGATAAGTAAGATACATAATGACTACACACGCAGCAATTTAATTCCACTAAATTATGGAAATTAATGTATTTTCACCAGGTAACCGATTAATGGTTAACATTCCAACCTGCTCTGCACTGTCCCTTCCTGGCCAGGCGGAGTAGTCCTTTCTTCTTGAGGATGAAGCTTCCTCCTATGAAGATGCTGGAGCTGATGGCTAGTCCCAGGCCGATGTAGAAATCATACTTCCCTCGGTCCTGGCCCATGGCGATGCTGGATGAGTTGTTAGTACTGTCTGTTACATTGACCACCACACACAGGAGTTCCTACCCAGCTGAGCAGTTGTCACCAACCCAAGTACCTTCAGAAAGAAAAACAAGACCCTCATACATCAATGTACCTAACATGTACCTAGGAACTCAATATACCTCAAGTTTACAACTGTTAATGTTATTAATTCAATTGTAAAATCAGAGTCCTCCCAGTTAGGCTACCTTCCCATTTCCCAGTTAGGCGACCTTCCCATTTCCCAGTTAGGCGACCTTCCCATTTCCCAGTTAGGCGACCTTACCATTTCCCAGTTAGGCTACCTTCCCATTTCCCAGTTAGGCGACCTTCCCATTTCCCAGTTAGGCTACCTTCCCATTTCCCAGTTAGGCGACCTTACCATTTTGACAAGTTACATCACAGAGTGAACAACCCTGATTCAAAATAGTTGGTCCCATTATAGAAATGGCACATTGACAATCCGTATGCAAAGATTACGTGGACCAACCCTATCTGTCACTTCAGCGAACCTGTACTCATGTAAATTCAATGAGTCAAGAATTATGGAAGTCACTTAAGATTGCAGATTTTCCGCATTCAACACAAGTCGGACATTTCTTACTTGGAAACTCGTAGAAAGATGAGCTCAGAGTTTCTCACTGGAAAAGTATCAGAATCCATAATAAAACGTAATGCAAATGTTGGCATCATGAATACCAGTTGTCATTCAACCCTGCACGATGAAAACAACATGCTCTGATTTGTGAGGCGCTGCATGAGGAGACTTGTTTTCATCTGATAGCTAACTAACGTTAAGCTAACTTTTACTGGCATGGCTATTGCTAACGTTAACTAGCTAACTAACGTTAATTAAAATCGAATAAAAATAAGAAGACCGAATTTTATTGGTCACATACACATATTTAGCAGATGTTATTGCGGGTGTAGCGAAATGCTAAGTTATTACAAAAGACAGTATTATTACCTTCAATTTCCTACCATCATTTTCAGTTTACTAACTAACGTTAGCATATCTAGCTAGTTATCATTTTATTGAGCTAAAGGTTTAACCTTCTTGTTGTCTACTTCAGAACGACACTAGCTAGCTTGATATTTAGCGTAAAGGGCAAATGTTGGCTAAATCGGTTGATAGCTGTACCAGCTAGCTGACGTTATTTGGAAACGATAGCTGGCATCCTATCGTAAACATGAATATCCTCGGTATGTTTCCATGCGAAATACCTGGCAAAAGATCCCTGGTTTGCCCAATAAGATGGTGGTAGTTAGCAAGTGAACTAGATATTTATCACATAGTTAGCTAGCTCTCTTGACATTTTGGTTACGACCCAACTTGACGGCAAGGTTGACGCAACCACACGGGTCGTTACTAGTGATGGGAGATTGATACCGGAGCACCGATGCCGTTTCCAAAGCACCAGCTACCAGAGAAAGTTCCAGTAAGCTACCAGAGAAAGTTCCAGTAAGCTACCAGAGAAAGTTCCAGTAAGCTACCAGAAAGTTCCAGTATGCTCTGTGGCATTTCTGATCCGACACAATGTCGTTCGTTTCAAAGTTACATTATCACGTCTTCAATGACGTCCGAAGCTGCTGTTGCCGCTTCTTCTTCTTCTTCTTTGGTATAATGGCGTTCGCAACAATTATATGTTCATTCCGCCACCTACTTTACAGGTGTATAATAAGGATCAAAAAATGAAAAATGCTGGGTCAAAAATAAAAAATACAATTCCATACAAACTATCAGTAACGAGATGTTAATTAAACTATATCAGCCTGCTTTTCTGTTTTAATCAGGTCCATACACAGGCTCAAAAGGATCCTGTGTTGGCGGGACATTTCCTGGCGACAGTAGTCCTTGCAGTGCTTCTGCTGTGAAGTCTCGGAGGCCCAAAAACTTATCGGCTGCAGATACAATGATGTCCAGCTTCTTGGACACTTGTGCAGTACAATTAATAAATGTGGCTATACATGCTACAAAATCCACCTTCTTCACAATAAGTGTATCTGTCTTGTTTTGTATGCTTTGTACAAAATAATAAAATGCAGGACGACAGGATCTTTATAAACGTAGCTCTTTATTAGCTAGCTATAACTGGCATGTTCATGTGTCTCTGGCCATGATCATCTTTAGAATGACCTTACCACAAAGGTGGTCTTAACCAATCATAGCACAGTATGATATGACAGTAGAATGCATCCAATTACAATTCAGTTTGCTGACACATGAATATTACATCCCCCTTCTTTAAAAAAAAAGAAAAAATATGTAGAACAACAAAGCGTTTCTTTTGAATACATGCTCTGTAGTTTGAACTCGAGGTAGGTAACCATTTAAACTGCACCAACTGCATCAACATAACAGACTGAAACAATGATTCAGCATACTGTTACTTTTAGAACTAATATTTCTCAGCAACTCGGCTTTTCACTGTAGCAAAGACATCTCAACATATCAAACAAATACAATACCAAAGCATTTCAAGTTAACTTTTCAATAACAAGTTTACAGTCCGGAACTCTCTTAGGGCAGCGATCCGCCTACGCCCTTTGACATTTCACAGGTCTAGGACAGCTCTAGGCTTGACCTCTCTTCCTGACCTTGTGTGATATGAAGCTGAGCATGCTTCTGTGTCAGTCAACAGTTCTTGTGGTGTTGCAGGTAAGTATGGTGTGTGTTGTGTCTGTGTTTAGTCCACCCCGTTCTCTTTCAGGGGAACAGTTCATCTCGTCAGTGTGTTGTTATTTTGTGTTCAGTAGGTGACGACGATTGCGGCGGTACACCACTCCTTCTGCGGTGCGGATGTGATATGAACGTTCAGTGTCAGCTGGTTGGATGACGACTGCTGGCTTCCAGTAGCCATGCTCCTGGATTCTAACTGACTCTCCGTCGTCGTTCAGTGGTGGCAGTGGTCTGGCTGACCTGTCGTAGTATCGCTTTTGCTGTTGTTGTCCTCTGTGCACGTTTTGCATGCATTTCCTTGTAGCTGACGACCTCAGGTTGCAGCTGCTGGTTGGTGCTTGGAAGGATGGCGCGAAGTCTGCGGCTCATCAACAGCTGGGCTGGTGATTTGAAGTTTTCAACTGGAGTGTTGCAGTATTCAAGGAGACTGAGATAGGGGCCTCTCTTGTCTGCTTTTGCTTTGTCCATGAGTGATTTAGCAATCTGCACAGATTTTTCAGCAAGGCCATTACTTTGAGGGTAATGTGGGCTTGTGGTGACGTGTGTGAACTCCCATGCTTTTGTGAAGGATTCAAACTAATTTGATTTGTAACAGGGGCCATTGTCAGATATTAAAGTCTCTACAATGCCATGCCTGGCAAAGGCTGCTTTCAGCTTGTGTATCACAGCTGCAGATGTGGTTCTGTGAAGCCTGTCGAGTTCCAAGTATCTGCTGTAGTAGTCCTCTGTTATAATGTAGTCCTCGTTGTTCCAGGTGAACAGATCGGTTGCCACGACCTGCCAGGGTCGGTCTGGGACACGGTGAGGTAACATTGGCTCTTTGGTGTTTGAGGGGCGTCGTTCAAGACAGGTGGGGCATTTACCAACCATGTCCTCTATTTGTTTGCACATTCCGGGCCAAAACAAAATGTCCCGTGCTCTCTGTTTGCACTTTTCCATGCCCATGTGTCCAGCATGGATCTTTGTCAAAATCTCTTCTCTGAGACTGGTAGGAATGATGATTTTCTCTCCTTTGAAAATGATTCTGTTGATCTGTGATAGAGTTCTGGAACCATCGTGACGAACTGAGACGCTCGGAGGGCATTTTCTCCTCTCCTCAGGCCATCCTGACTGTATGACTTTACTCAGCTTTGTGAGTTGTGTGTCTTTTTCTGTTTCTGCTCGGATCTCCTTCAGTTTTGTGTCACTAACTGGTAAGTTGCTGTACACAGTGTACACCTGCATGTCCATGCCTTTACTGAGGTTGCTGTCCTTGTAGGTAAGAAACTTCCTGGAGAGTGTGTCTGCGACAGGGATGTCTTTGTTTGGACGGAGAGTGATTGTGAAGTCGTATTTTTGTAGTTCAAGGATCATTCTCTGTAGCCTTGGCGGGGCTGCGGCTAGCGGTTTCCTCATGATTGACTCGAGGGGCTTGTGGTCGGATTCCACAATGACTTGTCATCCATAGACATACTGATGGAAACGCTTACATCCGAACAGAATGGCGTACAGCTCCTTTTCAATTTGAGCGTAGTATTTTTCACAGTCTGTGAGAGATTTGGAAGCGTAGCCGATGGGTTTTCCTTCTTGCAGTAGCACTGCACCTAGTCCATACTTCAACGAATCCACCTGGAGTCTGAGCTCTTTGTTGGGGTCGTAGTAGGCAAGGATTGGTCCTGGTTCTCTCGTGATCAAGTCTTTCACTTTCTGGAAAGCGATGTCGTGTTGCTTGTCCCAGAGGAACTCATTGGACTGCTTTAGCAGCTGACGCAGGGGTGCATTAGCATTGGAGAGGCTGGGTGCGAACTTGGCTAAGTAGTTGACCATGCCAAGCACTGTTTCCAGCTCTGTGCAGTCCTTTGGTGGCTCCATTTCCTTTATGGCTGAGATCTTCTGCGGAACTGGCCTGATTCCATTCGCTGTGAGAAGATGTCCGAAGTAGCTGACCTCTGTAGCGCCGACTGTGCTCTTCTCGGGGTTGAGCCGGACTCCTCTCTCGCGGGACCTTTGCAGCATCACGCTGAGGTTTCTGTCGTGTTTTTCTTTGGTTCCACCATAGACAAGGATGTCGTCCACAATTGCCAGGACTCCGTCGAGGCCTTCGTACACCTCGTCGATCTTTCGCTGAAACTCGTCTTGGGCTGAGATAATCCCAAAAGGCAGGCGACGGAACCTGTGGCGTCCAAACGGTGTGTTGAACGTTGTGAGCTTAGATGACTCTTCTGTGAGCTTGATAGCCCAGTAGCCTGATCTGGCGTCCATGACGCTGAAGTAGCGTGCGCCCGCTAGCTTGTGTGTGATGCCATCTAGCGTCAGTAAGGGGTAATGGGGGCGTTTTGATAGCCTTGTTCAAGTCTCTTGGGTCGAGACATACTCTGAGCT